GAGGGAGAAAAGCAGCTCAGACTCAACTGAATGGTGTTTGAGCATCTGGCTCCAGTTATTCCTGAGATACACTCTGGAAGGAGGAGGAAGAGGGGGACAAAGAGGAGGAAGAGAAGTCACGTCCCTCTTTTTAAGTCAGTGTGACTTGGGTGCCAATCACTTGCTAAAATAGTGTCTTGTCACATTCTCTGACCTATAAAGTTGGATCACAAGTGGCCATGTAGCTTCCACTCTGCTTGCTGGGACAACTGCGTTGGAGCCTGAGTCAGTGTGTAAGAGGGCTGATACCCTGAGGCCTCTATGATGGAAGGACTTCATGTAGGTGCTCCCACCAGCTGCCCAGCTGGCTCCAGCCTTTCTGCCACCAGATGAAGAAAGCAAACAAGTGACTGAAGTGGTCTTGGACCCTCCAGACCAACCTATCTATAGCTGAATACCACCAAGGGATCTTGTTCAACAGTTTCAGAACAAAAGTTGACCTAGCCTAGCCAACCCCTACCCGAATTCCTGACCCACAAAATCATGATATAATAAAATGGTTACTGTTTAAACCATTAAATTTTGGGATCATTTGTTAAGCAACCATAGTTAACAGGAACGTGCTATCAGAAGCTGGGCAGCAGTAGGTACAGTTTTTAATGGGACCTCCTGAGGTTTAAGAAAAAAAGTCACTTGACTATGTGTACAAAGTACAAGACCTTGATAGGAGCCCTGAAGTTTAAGCTCCATTGGTGTTACAATAAATCCACCTGAAGCTGGGCCTTCGGGGAGGTGAGGATAGTCCTCAAAGTATAGGAAAATGAGATGTGGTTTCCAGGAGAGGTGACCTGTGTGGGCAGAGAGGGAGGAAAAAGCATGGTCTATTAGGGGAATCTCAGAGTGCAGAGGCAAGGGGATGCAAGGATGGGCCAGTGGGAGAGGGGAGAAAAGCTGGAGCTTCAGGGAGTAGAGGGCAAGGACGGAGTAAAAGGGACATCCATCCGTAGGCAGGAAGCCCCCCAATTTAAGATTCATTGGTGTCATAGGAACAGGCTGCCTACCCCAGAAAAATGACCTTAACAGGGTGAGAAATTTTAAGAGAATGATTTAAGAAATGGTGAGAGGAGACACAGAACCCCTACATGTGGGTCTCAATACCCCTGTGAGCCCCCAGGTTCCACTAAGGGGGTCCTGTGTCTTTGGAGGTCAGGGGCTGGGCCACCTCGTCCTTCTCCTGGCTCTGTGGCCTTCTACATGACGACTGTATCATGACTCTATCAATCTACCACCCAGCTTCAGGTGGATTTATTGTAACGGCCCTTATCGTAAAGGCCCTGTGAATCCCTCAATCTCTGTATGTTGAACACTGAACTTTTTTTCCTCACCCACTAATCTAGTGTCTCTGCCAGGATCCTGTATCTCTAAGTGTCATCCCAGACCAGACACTGGGGAATCAGCCACAATCCATAGTAGGGGGTCTGGCTCCAAGAAGTTCTTCTCTCCTCTCCACACTCCCACTGGTCACTTTCTGGCACTACCACTTTTCATAGCTCCTCCTCAGGGGAATTTGGCTTTTTCCTAATACTCTGCCAAATCCAAATGCAATTCTCACCAGGGACGGCTGTCCACAGCTCCCAGTACCCTCCATCTGAAACCCAGGCCCTTTTCCCTAGCACACAAGGTCACCTCTGTCCAACCTCAACAGCCTGTCCCCACCTCCTCCTTTTCCACCTGCTGGTCCAGCGGGAACCCCCTACTCCCTCACCAACTTGAACCAGGACTCAGGTAACCAACCTCGCCAAGCCCTCAGGACTCAGCTACAGCCTCATTTCCACAACCACCGAGTCTCCCACCTGTCTCTGTGGCCCCTTGCTCTGAGTGCGGTGTCTCCCATAATCTGTAACACTTCAGAGGATTTACACTCAGTCCCTCTGAGCTGTTTATTCCTTTGTTAAAGAAGACAACACCACCCTGTGGCTATGAGAATTGTAATAGTGAATACCTTGTGAGCAAGCGCTGAGCTAAGAGCTTTTTACATGTTATTCTATTTAATCCCCACAGCACCCAGGGAGACTGACACTACTATTGGCACCATTTGACTGAGGAGGAAACCCGGGTTAAGCGCCTTTCCTGGGCACAGCCTTCTCCCGTTCAGATGCTGCCCTTTCTTACCACCCCCCAGACTGTAAGGGCAGGGAGGGTGCCTGTCACGCACTTGTGTTCCCAAGGTCCTAGAACTGGGTCTGACATACTGTCAATATTTATTGAATATTTGCTAACTGAAGTGATCCCTGAATGAATAACGGTAGCCAGTGACAGAGGCTAGATCCAAGCTCTCGGCTCTTTCTCCTCCACTGGTCCTCGTAGGGAACATGCTCAGTACAGGACCTGGCACACAGTAGGTGCTCAACAGTGTGCTGCTGCCGCTGCGCAGGGGCAGGAGAGGAAAGCAGAGAGAGGGGGGAAGGAGGGGAAAGAAAACTATTTCAAAAGTACTAATTCTTCCTTGAGTCTGTGGGCTCCTGTCCGTGTCCTCCCAGGGCCCCGGCCAAGGCCAGCTCCAACTGGCTTCAGTGAGAATTCGAGAATAATCGTGGACAGTGGCTGTCAGGAAGGAAACGCCCGTTTCCCGTTCTCCTGCTGGGAGGAAGAGAGGTAAAGCTTTCGCCACCGCTGCCCTGTCCCTTCCAGGTGCAAGCGCCGACTGAGAACAGGGGACCCCGCACTCCTCCCGAGCTGCGGCTGCCGTCCCCTCCCGCGGCTGCAGAGGTTCTGAGAACCAGCGACGCCTACTCACTCGCCCCCACCCACCCACCGCCACCTGGCAACCTAATCCGATTCCTCCGGCCCTGAATGTGAGGCCCTGGGCCAGCGATTGTCGTTCTCTCTGCGCCTCACTCTTTCTGGCTGGGCAATGGGCAGTGTGGGTCAGGGGCGCGCCTTGGGCAAAGGAATTCGCCAGAGGCCAAAGGCTGTGACTGAACGCCCGGTGCTTGCGTCGCGGGGCCTGAGCCACAGAGGTACAAAGGGCCCAGCAGAGGAGGAACCTGGGAACCCCGCTACCCCATAGCTCATGAACCACTCCTGAATTGTACGGCAGATGCTGGCAGCTGAGAACTGAGGGCGCGTTGAGCAAGCCGCTTCTCTGCGGGCCTCACAGTTCAGCGAAGGCCACCCTGGGCCAGCAGAGACCCTCCCTGAGCGCAGGAGAAGGTCCGCCCGGGCGGAGGAGAGGCGAGGAGTTAGATCCAGGATCCTTGTACAATTAGACAAGTCCCGGAACCACTTTGGAACTCAGTTTCTTCCTCTGTAAAGTGGGGCCACTAATAAACAACTCCCCGGATTCCCCCAGTTTGCTGTGAGGATCAACCAACTAAAATAACAATCTTGAAATCTGGCCGGGTGGGGTGGCTCACGCCTGCAATCCCGGCTCTTTGGGGGGCCAAAACAGGAGGATTACTTGAGCTAGGAGTTCCAGACCAGTCTAAGCTACATAGGGAGATTCTGTCTCTATATGAAATTTAAAAATTAGGCAGCCATGGGCCGCGCCTGTAGTCTCAGCTATTCCGAGGCTGAGGTGGGAGAATTGCTTGGGCCCAGGAGTTTGAGGTTTCGGTGGCTCTGTGGCTGCACTCCAGCTGGGGTAGACAGAGGGTGACTCTGTCTCTAAAATAATACTCATCTTGAAATCTATAACGCTCCAGATGTTCTTGACAATGAGCGAAGCAGGCCCACAGGCCGCCTCCTACAGTTGGTCTGAGCAGTCAGATGCCCCCAGCCTCTGGGGACCCAGTGTAGGTCTCTCCTGACACCAAGAGACCCAGACTGATCTTGGCTTCCCCTTGGTTGCAGTGGGAGCAGAGGCCCGGGATAGGGCGGCCAGAACCGTCCGGCTGAGCGAGTCCGAGAGGCCTCGCAAAAGCAGGAGTTGAGAGGGCGCCGCAGCCAAGGGCAAGAAAGTTCACACTTCTACGGGCTGGCGCGGCAGTTTCTCCCGCCTCCTCGTCTTCCTAACTATTCCCTCTTTTCTTCCTCTTCTCACCCTCTTCTTTCCTTCCCATCTTCACTTCCTTTCTCCACTGGTCTCTCTCGTCGGCATCTTTCTTCTCTCGCTCCTTCTCCCCCCACTTCCATCTCATCTTCACCCTCGCACTTTATAACCAAACAGCCAAACCCCCTTTCCAATTAAAGTGGAATTAGGCAACTCAATCAAATTAGTTCCCTATTAAAGCCCTTCTTTATTAAACCGTTTTCTTGTCCTGCTATTAAGTTTCACCGCCTGGCGGAACTCGAGCGGGCCCCAGAAGTTTACCTTGGGATATCGCCGGGCCTAGCCGAGGGGAGGAGGCACTGTTTTTTCTGGAGAGGGGGAGTCACCCTGCAGGGAGGGGAGGGACCAGAGGTTGAAGGAGGGGGTCGGCCCAAGAGCCGATAATTTGCTCAGCCCCGCGTGAGGAGGGAAGGTGAAAAGGGGTGAGGGATGAGGTCTGTCTGGCTCGAAGGCGCGTCCTCAAAGCCACCATCGACTACCCTGCTGCCTGCGAAGTCACCAACCCAACACCCCCCAAACCCGCACTAATCCCCAGGCCGCAGCAGGAGTACCGTGGCGTCTATCCCTTCCACTGCTTTCGGTTCCGAACCTCTCAGAGGAAAGCTCTCCCTCTGTTGGACCAGAGCTATACCCCTGGGAAGGTGGGAACTGGGCCCCCACCTTTGCAGGATCCCAGTGAAATCTCAGCCAGAGACTTGGGACCGAGAGCACTGGCAAGGCGACCCCTCCTCAACCAGCGCGCCCAGCCTGGGGCAGACAGAGGGCGCCGCTCCTCCAAAAGTTCTGAGTCGCGCACCACTCCAGAGGATGGGCCCTCTCGGGCTCCACAAGAAGTTCCCTGTCCTAGAACCCCCAAGGGTTGACCAATTGCCGGACCACGGTCTAACTCCAGTCCGCCACTGCGGCAGTCCCCCTGGGAAATCAAGACTTCTCCCCCGTAGCTCGAGGAGCAGGACGGTGTTCGGCGTAGTTTTCTTAGAAAATAACATTTATTTCTAGCTCATATCTATGCAAAGGAAAGCACAAAGTGCTGCTCTGCGGCGGCGTTTTCCGCTGCCGGCCCTTCAGCCAGGGCGTTTGGCGAGTCCCAGGAGGCGAGGATGGGCCCGCGAGCGGGCGGTCTGGCTCAGTCGCTCGTCGCTCTGTTCCTGCTTCAGCGCGCACCTTGTCGGCTCCTTAGAGAGACATCGGTCGCAGGCAAGAGGGGCAGGTGGGCAGGGTTCGTCCCGAGTTTACAATATATTTAATCTATAAACCTGATAAGTACAATGCGCGCATAGTCTAATTTTTTCCACTTTGTCTTGTTTTTGAAGTTTTTCACGTTAATACCGAGGTCACCTACAGGTTACAATTAATAACTTAGAATTCCATTTTATAACATTATACACTGGCTTGTATATATATATATGTATAGATTATATATAGATTTATACATATATAAAAACTCACACGCACCAAGGAAACCCATGCTTATTGGCATAAGCAACAAAGAGAGCGACAAATACCGCAACGAGGAAAGTGCACCTTAGAACTTGTTTCCTTTTTTTTTTTTTTACAATTGATATCGATATATATGTGTGTCCCAAAGACTCGACTCAGTGCCAAGAGATTTATACATCCTAAATTTATATTTGTTAGAGCGAATATTTAAATTTTTTAAAGGGGGGCTGGGGAGACACAGTAGAGACTCTGGATTATCCTGCCATCCGTCAGAGAGCGCAGGCGGTGGGATGAGCACAGCTGAAGGAGCCTCAGGAGAGTGCGCTGCGGTCGCAGCCTCTGAATTCTCACGAATCCACGAATCCCAGCCTTTTGAAACTGGGGCTGGGAGAACTGTGGAGAGGGGTCGGGACGAGGTGGGGTTGGGGCGGCATGAGGATTCAGGCCACAGCACCCTCTCCAAAACCACCTGCACCTGTAGCTGCTCCTCCTTTGCTCAGCCCTCCCTCTCTCACCCTCCAAAACAAAACCAAAAAGCCACCTTGAAGTGGGAGGACCCCCGCCAGGGCGCAGAGAGCGCGCTGAGGAAAGAGGACCAGCGGCCAGCGGGGACACGGTTGGGCTTTCTGTTAGGGGGACGCCCGGCTGCCGGGCCCCTCGCCTTATTGCTTCTCAGGGGCGCCATTGACCATAGGCCCGTACAGGCCGCCGCCATAGGTCGGCTCCTTATGCACCGCCGCTGCAGCAGCGGCAGAGCGGTCGCGCATGAGATCGCTGAAGGCGTAGTCCATCGGCGGGCGAAAGCCGAGTGTGGGCACTAGGCCTGCGGTGGAGTAGGGCGCCATGAAGGCTAGGCCGCGACTGTGTGCCGCCGCGGCCGAGTAGGCCAGGCGCAAGGGGCTGAGGCCGAGCGGGGCGCCCAGCGGGTAGGCGCCTGCATCCGCGCCGAAGTGACTGGCGTTGGGCTGCAGCGGCGAGAAGGCCGAGCGGCTGCTCAGCGAGCCCAGCGCCCCGGGCGCCATGGCGCCAGCCAGCAAGGGTCTGTGGTGTGGGGGCGCGGCAGGCCCCGCCTGCAGCGGCGTGGGCAGCCCGGGGCCCCCGGCGGCGGCGGCTTCAACGCGCCCCGGCCACGCGTCGTCTGCAGCTGTTGCAGCACCTAGTGCAGCCTTATCCGGGGGCGCGGTAGTGCCCAGGCCGGCCGCCAGGCCTCCGCGGTGGTGGTTCAGCACCTGCTCGATAGCCTGCACCACGTCGCCGCCGCAGCCCTGCAACACCAGCTCCAGGACGCCACGCCGGTGGCCTGGGAAGACGCGCGTCAAGATGTCCAGCGGCGTCCGCTGTCGTGGACCCGGGCCTCCGCCCAGCCCTGGAGCCGGCGCGGCCTCGGCCTCTTCTTTGTCAGCCTCCGAACCGGATTCAGAGCCCAGAGGACTAGCGGAGCCCGGGCTGTCCTCTTCGCCGCCGCCTCCAGGCCCAGCGCTGCCTGGGCAGCTGCCAACGGCCTCCTTTGAGGCACGGGCCAGGGGCGACCCCGAAAAGGACTCGCCGTCGCCATTCTCCGAGCCTGAGCCGGGTCGCACCTCTGGAGACGACGTCCCGGGCCCCGAGTCCCCGCCGTCGGGAGATAAGGGCTTCACCGGCGGCGGCTGCGGGCTGCCGGGGCGGCCTGCCTGAAGCAGCGTCTTGGGGAACAGGTCAAACTTCTGCAACTTGGCCTCTGGGAGGGGATAAAAGGGGATGTGAGGAGCGGTTGCAAGAAGACCTCACCCACAGCACCTCAGCCCATTGAATCTTAGTTTCCTCTTCCTCTAAGATCCACAAGCCTCATTCACCAGGCTCCAGTGTCCCTCATTCTTTTTGCTTCCTCTCTGCACCTCTAAGGCCCAGTCTCTCTCCCTCTGCGCTTGCTCTTTTTGTCCTCAGAACCTGGACCACTTGTGCCACCCAATAAACTCAGAGTTGCTCTTCCCAAATCTGTGCCCCAGTACCTCTACCCTTAACCCGCTTCGCAGTCTCCCTCTGCCCTGGAGAGCCTGGTCCAGTGTTCAAAAAGAAGCCAAACACAACTTCTGCCCATAGGCCACACTAGAAGGTTCCACTCCACTCCTGGGATTTCAAGAGGCAACCCTCCCCTGGGCAGCCTAGCTGAAGGATCTAGGAAGTCCCAAGCCTCTCTGAAGACGTAGAGGTAGAACCCTTACTTCTAATTCACCCTTTCCAAAACTGAGACCTAAGAAGTTCAAGGACCCACTTCCCATGGCCCCAGCCTAATATATGGCCTCCCCTCAAAAAGTCAAGGGACTCCAGAAGGAGAAGGTGAGGCTAGGCAGAGAGTAGACAGGAAAAAGGATCTAGGCAAGTCAGAGGGCACATACTCTGAGCAAACCCGGACAAATGAGTTAAAAAAGCTGAAATGAGGGCGGGCAGGGCATGCAGCTCTCCAGGGGGGAAGAACTGAGAGCAGCTCAGTACCTGGGAAAATTAGTGCGGACGGGGCGAGAGGAGTGGTCGGGGTTTAGGATAACCGAAGAGAGTTGGAAAGGAGTGGAGGTGAAGGCAGCGTGTGGAGGAGCGCGGAGCGAAGATAAGACGCACAGGTTTCCACACCGCGGAGCAGAGGAAACGAAGGGAGCAAGGAAGTAGGGACCTGCCTACTCTTTTAGGTAGGGAGTTAAGATTAAAGTGTCTACATTTGAGCCCGCGGTAAGAGAAAGGAGTAAAGAAAGGGAGAATGCAGATTTAGGTCAATGCTCAGTATCGGGGGGTGGGTGAGCTGCGAACTCTAGCAATTGGGGCGTTTGGAAAAGAGTCTACTCTCCAACTCTTTCTGTACAGAGACAAGTCCCTGGGCCGCGCCCCCCAGGGCTAGACCCGGGTTCCTCTTCCCACGGCTTCACCGTGCGCTCACCTGCGCCCCCTGCGCCCGCTGCCCCGCCTCCGGTCCCGGCGGGCGCTCCGGCTCCTGGGCCCCCGCCTTCAGCTGCGCACACCGAGCCAAAGACCTCGTAGGCGGGTCGTGGTGGGATGATGCCGTTGGCGGCGGCCAGCGCCAGGCCCTCGGCAGTGCCGTAGAGCAGTTGCAGCTCGCGCGCCTCGTTTTCTTCCTGAGCCTGCTGCCTGCGCAGCGCCACCTGCGCCGCCATGACGCGTTGGCGCTCGGCGATGAGCGTGCACTTGGCGCACAGGCAGTCCTTCCAGCGACAGTAGCGCTTGTGGCCCTTGAGCGCCGACACCACGCCGTGGTTGCGGCAGCGCGCGCACTTCGGCGTCCGCGGGTACTTCTCCGCCGCCCGCAACAACAGCGGCGGCGCCCGGAGCAGGCCGCCCGCCACGCTCACTGGCAGCGACGCCGCCGCCGCCGCCGCAGCTGCCACCGACGCCACTGACGCCACAGGCGGCCCCGTCGCTGTAGCCGCCGCTGTTGCCGCGCCAGGCACGCTGGGCAGCTCCGAGCGCAGCTCCATGGCAGGACCTGAGTTGGAAGGTGAGAAAGGGAGAGAGACCCAGGTGAGGAGCACACCGTGCGCTAAGCAACAGCGCAGCCTTGAGGAACCCAAAGTTAGGGGAAATTTGGCCTCAAAAGTTTGGCTAGCGGTTCCAAATTGCTGGGAGGAGGTGCAGTGAGAATCTCTTAAGTCGGAGATCCTTCACCCCAGGCCCACCACAACTGCTTGTGTATCTGATTTATGCACCATGTGTAAGATTTCGTTTGAATCAGTGATTCGACTGGAAAAAATAGACATAAAGTTTGAAAGTCACTGGTTCAGATGGATGTAACCCAGGTTTGTAAAAGAAGATATTATCCTCAAGTGCTTAGGGGATAATATCCCTAATGTCATTATTGGGGTGATGCGGGTAGACAGAAATGTTTGCTTGACTCGGATTAGACAAAAAATTTTGGTCCAACAGTTAAAGGTTAATTCCAAAGACAAAATAGGAAAGCCCAGAATAAAACGTTCAGGTTGGTGAGAGAGAGAAGGGGAGATGTCCAGTGCAAAGTTGAGCTGTGGGGCCTAGATTTCGTAAGTTTGTTTGGTGGCGGTTTTTAATGCAGGTGAGAGTTGAAGAGTTCAAGAGAAAAATCCGAAATAGAAAAAAAAAAAAAAGCTGTAGGAAGTAGAGTGAGGGTTAGGAAACAACTCAGGGGCAAATTTAGGCCCAGTGGTCCTGGAACCTGTAAAAATGTGAACTCCAGAAGTTCCATATTGCTGGCCTCCAGAGAGTGGGAGAGAAAATGGGTGTGGAGCTGAGTTTAGGACGCCAGATAAGCATTCAAGAGAAAATTCAACCGAAAACAACTTTCTTTGGATAGGTAAACTAGCCCAAAGATTAGCTTGATGGACAAGGAAAACAGCAAAATCCCAGCTGATTTAGAGTGTCTGGGATCCAGTGTCTACCCGCAGAAGAGGAGAGTGTTTAAGAAAACAAGCCTGCAGGCAAAGGCTAGGGGCGGGGATAGGGCACAACCTGTGGTACAGTTTTTATCTTTGTAGTCTGGAGAAGTAGTCCAGGAGGAAGAAGTAAGTTAGGCATTGCAGGAGGGGGTCTTTTTCGATGACCACCTCACACTGTCCTCCCCTCCCCTTAGAGTTTAGAAACAGACTCGTCAGACACGCCCTCCCCATTCCGGGGCCCCAAGGGACCCTGCTCAAGCTTAGTTTCCTGCGTTTGGTTTCGGATTTGGGTTTCTGGGACCTGGACGCTTGGTAGGCCGCACAGAGGCAGGGGAGTCGCCTTCGGAATGGACACAGAGTCCCACCCGCGCCGCAGTCCCAGAAGGCCCAAGCAGGCCCAGCTCCCAGCTTCCACCCTCGTCTCCTTGCTCCCCACCCTCCCCGGTCCCCGCCAGAGACCAGGACAGAATCCTGGTGGCTCTTAGAATCTCAGACCTCTCCCTGAGCGAAGATTCTTTCCCCCAGACCCTGGGGCCCGCGCAGTTCCTAAGGCCCGCTGGGCCCAGGCCTCCTCAACAGGGGCTGCACACCAGGTCGCCTCCCCTGCTCCCAGAGGCCCTCAGGTACCTGCCTTGGGCTCCTGAATCTTCCTCCGCTGGAGCTACACAAGCCTCCCAGCTCCGCTCGCGACGCTGGCGCTCTTGGCCTCTTCCCCTTTCCCCTGGCCCCTTATCTGACCACGTCACCCTCTTTCAGTCACCATGTCCGAACTTCCGGACCCCCTCAGAACGCAGCGCAGTCCAACCCTCCCGTCAGAAATCGGAGTCGGAGGCCCGTCTAGGGGCCGGCCGGTTGGAACCGCGACCGGGCTCTCGCGGTGCTGCGTCCCCTCGCGGTGCGCGTGGGACGATGCGCGCAGCCAGGGCCCACTTGCCCGGCGCTGCCAGACTCTCAATGAGGCTCTCGCCCGCTCTATTGTTGCTCCTTAGGGCTCCATTAGACAGAATTGGACAACAATGTGGCGCCTGCCATTGGCCAGGGGAGGCAGACGGCGCTCTGATTGGCCGGGCCCGCGCCCGGGGAGCCCCGCATTCTACAGAGTCCGAAAGATTCGAAACTCCAAAAGCTCCACTGCGTGCCTCGGGGAGGGGAGGGGGCGCGCCTGAGAGGGAGTGGAGAAAAGTGGGTGAGGAGGAGCGTTGAAAACATCGTGACAAGTAGTTTCCGTGCGCCCGAGAGCGTGTGAATTGCTCCTAATTACCGTGTCCGGTGCGCCTCTCTACGTAGACGTGTGTAACCCCTCGGCTTCTGGGGCGCCGGCTCCGCTGCGCCGCTCTCCCTGGCCGGGGGCGCTTGGCAAGGCCGAGCTTCCCAAGTAGCCCTGGCGCCCTGGGGCGGGATGGGGGCAGGTGACAATTCAATTACCGCGGTCGGGTGGGGGTGGAACGGGAGTGCGGGGTGGAGAAGGGAAGGTGTTCCTGGCTTAAATGCCAAGACAATTTTTCCTGCCTCCTTTCAGCTCTGTTTCGGCGTGCTCCCAAGTCCAAGGAGCGTAGGGTAGTTAAAGGCTGTTTGTTTTCTCCCCCACTACCGCTTTTAAAGTTTAGTTTCTTTGTTTTAAAAGTCCTGATAGGATAGACACCACGAAGGGTAAGTGTAGTTTATGAGGATTTTCGTTTAGAAAGAGGAGCCCAGAGAAGAGAAATGAAATTGCACTTCTCGTCGGTGCCTGCCGGGTCCCTGGCGCTCAGCGCCTTCCCTCCCCCCGCCCCTCTTTCTAGTCCCGCTGCCCTTTTTGCTCTTTCCTTTCTTCGTATCTTCAGGATCCCGATTTCTTTACCATAGTGGTGAGATTCTTCGCAGTTGTTATTTTAAATTAACAAAGTTGGTTTTTATCCTTTTTAAACGAAAGTAAAAAGTGGCCTCCGTGTCTTCCCAGATCCTCTTGGACTCAAGACACATCTGTCTGTCCGTCCTTCTCGGAGGGAGACGAGGTCGCTGTGGGGGGTCCCGCCAGGAACCATCTTAACTTTCGCCCCTGAAACAGTTTTTAACTTTCGTCTTACTCTCCCTGTCCTGACGTCAAGGCCCTGAGGAACAGCTTGTTCTGCAGAGGAGGTAACAGGTTTCGTATTTTGTTTTCCTTTTGAATGGCAACATCTGGAATTAATGCTGCGGTTCTGGGGCGGGGTCGCCCTCAATTTCTCTTGCTCTGATTCTATCTCTGTGCTTTTTCTGACTTTCCCTCTAATGTTCTAGCACTCTCGTTTTTATTCTCTATTATTCTCTCCTTCAGAGTAAAGCAAATTCGTTTAAATAATGAGGAAAAGGCGCTTTCTTGTTCTCCTTCCTCTCCCAGCCGTGCTCTTTCGAACGTCCAGGGTGGCAGAGCTCTGGGCCGCGCCGTCCAGGGCGTGAGCTTAACTAGGCGCGCAGACTCGGCTCCAGGCCTGGGGACGCATCCCCTTCCACCTGGCACAACTAATGGGCCACTTTGTCAGTCCAGTCTCTTCTGACCCTGAGTCTGGGACTGGGGGGGAGGAAGGCTCGACCAACAGGGCCCCGACCGAAGACCACAGAACTTCCGAAGACCACAGAACTTCGCAGCCGGAAAGAGCCATCTCCCCAGAAAGAAGCCAACACGGAGACGTGGTTGGAAGGGGCGTGGGGGTGGGAGCGATGTGCAGAACTCGGCAGAGCTTCCAGAATGTTGACCAGGCCAGGGCAGGGCGCGAGGGTGCCCGGACACGGACGGAGTCTGGGATATAGCGATAGAACCTGGTCGCTGGTTCCCAGGAAATTCCACTCGCTGGAGCCTGAGAGTAAGTTTGGGAGAGAGAAAAGGGTCAACTCCCGCGGGGGTCTCCCACACTGAGTGAGGGTGAGGGAGTGCTCGACAAGATACCCTCGGGCAGCGCGGGACCCAGACTCCACCTTCCAGCCCTTGGAAGTTGCGGAGCCAAGAATGTCTCAGCTAGAACTGCACCCTGGCGGGGGGATGGGCCGAGAAGGGCCCAGAACGAAATAAACTATAAAAATCTGCCTAACTTTGGGTGGGAGCAGTGGTCCAGGCATCCTTCTTTGTTCTTGAGGCCAGGCCACCGTGAGTTTCCTCCAATCCAGTCCCGAGGAACCCGAAGGAACCGAGGGTCCAGCCCGGAAGACTTGAGAACTCGAGGCTCTGGCAGGGATGTGTGATGAACCTCGTTTTCTTAGGGGGGAAAAAGTAGCATCCTGCAACCCAACCAAGTCCAACCAGAGGGAATTTGCCCAACCCTGTTTTAGGCGCTTCTCTTTTATTGTGCTCCCCTTTACTCCAGTTTACATCCTCACAGGTCGGGAACCCACAACCTTTTCTCCCGCCCCCAAGGTTGTGGCGCTAACTCGAGCGAATGTGTTACGGAGGGAGGGAGGCGGAGTAAACTCGTGCTGGGCCAAGGTCACCGCACCTCGACAGGGCAGGGATCCTCTGCCCAGCTTCCCCGGCCCTCCTGATTTGGACCCCGGGCCCAGAGATGAAGGGAGCCGGGTGGCGCAGCTGAGCCGCCAGCCCTAGGAAAAGCGTGCTCAGGCGGAGGCAGCAGGGTCTCTCCCCCAGTTTGAGTGCAGTTCACACCTGGACACACCACTCTGCGGGCGGGATTTTGGTCAAAGTTTTGGACACACCCTCACGCTGGCATGCAGCGAGAGCCTGCTGGGTGCACACTCACCCCTGAGGCTGCCCTCCCACCCAGGAGAACCCCTTTGGAAAGTTTGGCCTCACACTGCTCCCACAAGCGTGTCCTCATCCTGGGAACATCCACTTGACTGCAGACCCAGGCAACAAGCTCATCCTTAGGCACTACGGCCTTGCTGATGGATTCGGAGCCCTGGGAGAGAAAGCCACAGTCTTCCTGGACAAACCAGGCCGCTGTGTGTGGAGAGGCGGTACACACACACACACACACACACACACACACTTTTAGCTCAGAATCATTTGCTGAGGCTTCTGCAGTGCCTGAGGCTGGGGACCAGGGTGAGAGCGCCCAGCCAAGAAAATTCACCCCTTACACCCTCTTCGCAAGAGGCCCCCCCGCGCCCACGCCCAGGCTCAGTGGAGTTCACCGGGATTGCGGGGGGAGGGGAGCGCCTGGGGGTGAGGCTGGGGTTGAGAGAGCAGAGAGGGTTGGAGGTGCAGCGTAGGGAAGGGGGCCGAGGGCGAGGATTCGGTGGCACAGAGTAGGAGAAGGGCCAGGGGCGCCGATGGGAGACCCGGGAGGCGTTGACTTTTGCGCTGTTTGCCCGCGGCCTCGGAGCAAGCAGACGCCATCTGTTTGCCGGCTGCGACGCGTTCCATTTAATTACCCTCCCGGCAGCCTAATAGAGATGATATTAAACTAAATCTTTCTGACATTAAAAGTAATTATCCCCAAACCGGTGGCTCCAGGACGGAATGGTCCCTCCCGTCCCCACCCTTTCTCGGCCCTGCCGGATTCCGTTAGTTTGGCTAATTCTCCACCCGGGAAGTGGGCACGGAGAAAAGAGGGAAGGCGCCTTTGGGAGAAGGAACCTCCGCCGACTGCCCGACACGCGTTTTCCTGCACAACTACAGACGCTCCTGCTCATTCGTGGACACACACACATAATGACATGATACCGATGAAGACCCATAGCTGAGCGCACCCAGGGTGGACAGGACGAAGCGCAGCTGCTGTTCCCGTCCCCTGACTCTGATGAAATGGCCCTTTTCTGTGGTTAAAGCCACAGATGTGGCCTAGGCCAGGAGCAGGGAATCGGCACTGTCCTGGCTCTGGGTTTCTCCGGCGCCCTTCCGGTGAGAGGCCCTCCGTGTCCCCAGCTCTTCCCCTGCAGTGTCTTACTGAAGTCGCACCAACCTCTCCGAGGCAGGTCTGATTATCCCACCTGTCAGGTGAGAAAACATTCCCTTGGAGAGTGAGGTAACTTGTCCTACATGTCACGGTTCGCGCTGAATAGAGTAAAATTCAAACCTGAGAGAGTACCCTCATTCCAGCACCAGGTCCGCAGGGCTCCACACGCAGGGCCTGGCTGGGCGCCGAGGGCCAGTGCCTGGCCTGAGCCCCCCTCGGCGCCGCAGACGACCTGGTGTTCAGCTCCTGGGCCCTGGACAACAAACACCCCTACCTCCGCGCACTGAAGGAGCCCTCGAGGAGCCAACTGTAGGTGGGGGAGAGGGAACGGGGTCTGGAGAGCAGCAGGAGCCCCCAGCGCCCAGCCCTGGAGGTCACACTCTCCTTTAGATCAAGCCCTCCCGTCGGCAGAGCAAGTGCAGGGGAGCCGGCTGGTGGCCAGGCTTCCTATCTCCACAGCCTTCGGGTTGCGCGCATCTGAGCCTCGGACAGACGCGTGGAGAGTGGTGTTCACCGACCAACTATTTGCTTCTGTTTTTGAGCACCTGCTGAGTATCAACGCTCTGCTAATTCCTTGGTGTGTGCTTGGCGCGCAGACCTTGGGGAAGGCGCGACGGTCCTCATTTCAGACACCAGGCGGCCAAGGTTCAGTAGGCGACATAACTTGCCTGGGGCACAGAGCTACACAGCCCCAAGAAAGACAGACATCCAGATCGGATTCCCACTCGCAGTTTCCTCCTTACATTCTGTTCTGGACGGATGGGATTCTATTCAGTCCCCTGATCATTCACAGAAACATGAAGGAACGGGTCGTTCATTCATTCATTTATGTAACAGCATTTGTTGAGCACTTAGTATGTGCCAAGGCCCGAGGACCAGAGCAAAAAATCAACCATAATGAGTTCTTACAGAGCTGGGGACACGGGCACCTCACATTACTTCACAGTGAGAACAGATCTGTGATGGGCGCCCTTAAACTTGGGGACGGGAGGAGGGCCTGTGAAGGCTTCCCAAACAAAAGGGACCCCAGACCTGAGAAGGGGTTTCCCAAACGGAAACACTGCTTGTTCTGGTGAAGTGAAATCGTATAAAACATTTTAGACAATTCAGCAAAATATATCTGGTCTATATTTTTCTAAACTTTT